CAATGTGAGACATGCGATCTTAAGTGGATCCTTTTCTATGTTCCCATTCAGAAACAGTAATCGAACCCTTGCTTGAAATGAATCCAGTAATAATGGTTGAGCAGTTTTGGCGCGGTGTGGTACGCATTTCATCTGCACAACACAGTTTATTGACGCCAAGGGATTATGGTAAAGGTTTGCCGACCTACTGAAGTTACATTCTTGTTCATTTCGCCGGTACTCGGGCGAAAATCCTCGACGTGGCCGTTTTTAAATAGTGGACGTATTTAGCAGTTCTAGCAATATTTGAATAGCAAATCTTCTAGTTTATGATGACATATTAACTTTTCAGATTGGATGAGTTTGAACGGAGTTATGGCTTTGGAAAGTGTAAAAACTCGTGCTCATCGAATTTTCCTCGTTAATTGATCTAAATTTGTTATTTCTTATAAATTTTTGTAATTTCAAGTACTGGTTGAGAAGAACTCTTCACAAAACTCCCAAATCTGCTTTCAGATTGAAAACTTATCCACTTTGAAAAATTTTAATAGTAGATAAGCTGCTCCAAGGTCAGCGCCAAAGATCACCAAGTAGTGGACCTGCAGATTGAAAATATACTCCGTGTAAGACTAAAATTGGTAAGCCTTTCGACGAAAATAAATAATGAGGAATGCTGCCATAGTATGCCATGTTAAACGACGTTTTTTTTCGTTTTTTTTTTTGCTTTTTGTTCTGTCTGATTTAAGACTCATTGATAATGATCTTTCTTTGGCTTTTTCTGCTTTTTCTATTTTTCTACTTCTTTAACGACCTTTATAGTAAAGGGTGGGATAGTGGGGCTTTTTGATGTACAGTTTTCGGAGAGGATTAACACGTTGAAGACATTCTGACGCGCATGCGCTTCAGCATTTTTCCAGCACATGTCCGACTTCTTCCGAAATTTTTTATCTTTATTATATAGACAATACATCATCATGTCTGGAAATGGTGTGGTCTTTGAAGCGGTCGAATATGCTTTAGTTAAAGGCACGAGTCGGGATTGAATTGATGCGTTATTTTGTTCAAACATTAGGCAAGGGGTGCAATGAGGAACATTAGTGAGGAGAAAAAGCAAAAAGCACCATAGAAAACACTAAATTTCCCTTAGGAGGCCGGCCGTAGTACGACGGAGAGACACAGCGCTGCGAGGAGAGGGAGAACGCGAGATAGTACGTCGTACGCGAGAGGACGCAGAGACCACGTATGCCGTGGTGGATTACGCTGGCAGCGCGGCGGGCAAGGCCTTAGCGCCATTGCCGCGCACTTTTGGGTCGCGATAGTGTCGCGCCCTCAGTGCTTGGGGAGCCCACTATCGCACCCTGGGAAGAACTTCTGCTGGTTGCCTAATCCTGACTCGTGGCTTTAACACGGGTTCTGACTGGCGTGGCTACTAAATATTGGCGCATGGTTTATTGACCATATTTTTGCAAAGAGAAACTATTACATATTCAGAAGTTTATTTTTATATACAGTAAAACATATCCATGCATCACTGAAGAAGGTGCTCGAAATGGCCTCCCTCGGCAGTGATACAGGCTTCAAGTCTCTTCTCAACTGACATCACCGTGGGCCGCAAGTAAGTGACGTCAACGTGACGCGAGAAGATCATCACACTGGAATTGGCGCACAATTCTCAAAAGGACAGGCAATTGTTGGATCCGGCTAGCAGGCATCCTGCTCGACGTCGTGCGCACACAAGGAGCCGATTTCCAAAATCTGTCATGATTTAGGCAGGAATTACTTCCGACACCGAGACACCGTTTGTCTTTGTGGACAAATCCGTCAAAATTAACGCCCAGATCTACCAGGAAACAATTTTACGTGATGTGCTCGTTCCATGGACTGTTTCGACCTCCAGCAAATGTCAGTGCCTTCTTCAGCAAGACTAGGCTCCTCCCCATGCCGCAAAATCTACGCTGGTGTTCTGTGACCGCCATTTTCCAGGTTACTGGTCACCAGATGTTTGGCCATCTAACTCACCCGATTGTACCCAATGGATTTTGCGGTGTGGGGCTTCCTGCAGCAGAAGATGCCTTCTAGGCAACATCGAAGTTTGGACTTCCTGAAGGCTTCCTAGGAGGAAGCGTTGAAGTAACTCGACGAAAACTGCTTGCGGCCCACGGTGATGTCAGTTGAGAAGAGACTTGAAGCCTGTATCGCCGCCGGAGGACTTCTTTCCGAGCATCTTCTCTAGTAATGAATTGTTATGTTCTACTGTATAAAGATAAACCTCTGAAGATTTAATAGATTCTCTTTTTGGAAATATGGTCAATTAACCATGCGCCAATTAATAATTAGTATCATATTTAGTTGCCACCTTCCTTGTATAACGACTTTACGTCGTTATTCACCAAATTTTGTCTCAGCTTACAAGTCGGTTGAATTCACTCAATCGATACGCGAGACTCTTTGTGCGCAGACCTCTTTATCTGTAGGCCCATCAAGAGGCTGCGCTTTTTTATAAACATACCCTCACTACTCATTTCACTTGCCGTTCACGCCATTTACCCTTTTATATAGTTCATTTGCACTTTTTACATGTATTCTCATCCCGTAACTTTTTCTGTTGTTTTTGTCTACAGTTTGCTTTATCTGTATTCCATGAAAGACTGTACTTTCTTTCTCATGACTGTTTCTCATGGCTCACCAATAGGTCACTTACCCTTCTTGAAAAGATTAAGCCATCAACAACTTTTTTGGGTGTCTTGTACAAAACACTTCTTTGTTGGTGCTCAGTATAAATACCCCCTGCGCAAACAGTAGGGGCTTCTTCTTCTTGCATCTCACTTCTAGCTTCTGGTTCCTTGTTGGTGCTGTTTTTTGAATATCTGTATAATTTGCCATATCAGAATAAAACTTCCAAACGTTCGTGTGGAAGATTCCTACAACAAATTTGTGGTGACTCGTAGATCTGAACTTGGACCGCGTGGCACTCTACTCAGAGGATAAGGCGAGCAGATTCTACATTTCTACAGCTGCAGAATCCTACAAAATCTATTCTATATTTTACAGCTGCAAAGTCGCTACAAAATCTGGTGCATCGGCTGCTCTTCAACGACAACTCTTCATACAGAGATTGAAAGTGAGTGTTTCAATCTTCGATATTAGCAGTGCTGTCCACGTTTGTCTGATACGTCCGTGTTCATTGCATTCCATCGTCTCATTCTGACTTTGCACTAGCACAGAGGACTTTTTGAACGACTTCAGAGGATTGACATTTCTTTATCTTTACTAGCTACCCTTCACTTGGCTACTTTCTAATGTCCTCTTCTCTGAAAGGAAAACAAGCGTGGCTCTCCAGACAGGGGAATCAACTCGAAGAAGCAATTTCGCGAGTTGAAGAATCCTGCAAGTCCGTCGATACTCTTTCCCCCTCGCAGGCTAAGGCAAAAATTCGAAAGGGGATCAAAGAGTTGGAGCTCCGACAAACTGCTCTGGAAACGGCTCTCAACAGCTTCTCCTCCGCCGCAGATGCTGCAAATCTCGCAGAGGAAAATCAAGAAAGAGTTCAATCTAACATCACTGCAGCTCATGATATCATCATCCGAGCTCAGAATCTCTCACTAGCACTGCACCTACAACTCGACGAACAGGAATCAACCAAGGTCGTCGAAGCAGAATCAAGCAAAGCCGTCGAATCAGATGCCGAGACTAAAATCCTACCCCAACTCCCATCACTGCAAATCCCCAAGTTCAGAGGAAATCTGTGGGAGTGGGACCAGTTTTGGGGAATCTTCAGAACTACCATCCATGAGCGTCAGATCAGCAAAATTGAGAAGTTCACTCATCTTCTCGAAGCTCTACAAGGACCAGCCAGAGAAGCCATACAGAATCTGCAGATTACGGCAGAGAACTACGATCTAGCGGTAAATCTTCTACAATGCCGCTACGGAAATGAGGGAGCCATCATAGGACACCTCTTGACGGCACTCCAATCCATACGCCAACCAAGTCCGCGATTGTCCGATCAACGGCGAATTTTGGAGAAAGTTACTCCCCTTGTCTCGCAGTTACGCCAGAAGGGAGAATGCGTCGATACTCAACATATGAAACGCACTATTCTGGGGAAGTTCTCGGAAAAAATTCAGCGTTCGGTGCTCAAACAGCTGAGACACCAAGGATCGGATTCTAATGAACAGTCGTGGACCACTCAGCAACTCTTACGTTGCCTCCAGGAATACTTCGACACTGAAGACATGATCCAGCACGCGAAGGGATTTTCCGATGAGAACCCCAGAAGAAATCCCAACGCCGTGCAGCCGCAGAAAACCTCTTCTGCCAGCGTTCGCACTACTCCGCAATCAAATGTGGGGAAATATCTTTGCTTCTACTGCCATCGTGCAGACCACAGACCTTCAGCATGTACGAAGTTTTCTACGTATGCTCAGCGAATTAGCGAGATTCACCGACAGAATCTCTGCCAGAATTGTGGCTCGTCCACTCATCAAGCAACATCTTGTCCATGTGGACCATGCCGCAGTTGCGGAAAGAAGGGACACCATACATCGATTTGCCGGATATCTGCCCAGAAGGAAAGTGGACCATCTCAACAACGACAAGAAGCAAAACAGAAGACTCAATCTGCTCCGAAAACACCCAAAAAGTCTACTACGACTACCAGTGCTACCACAGTCATAGCCCAGTCATCGTCCTGTAAGCTCGGACAGGATACAGTTCTGTGCAAACCAGCCTGTCAACCATCTAACAGAGGAAAAGCTGACTTGCTTATAGGACAAGCTAGGGTATGGAATACTCTATCGTCAGAATTCGAAGACGTGCACATCATTCTTGACACGGGAGCAGACCGGTCATTCATAACGACTTCCTATGCAAAGCAGCTAGGCCTGACTACCACTGGAATGCTTCAGTTGAAGATCCACACGTTTGGCACCAACACTCCAATAGAAAAATCTTGTGCTGTCACGAGTATCCAAATTGAAGATCGAGCAGGGAAACGGCACAACTTCTCAGTTGCAGTGGTCGACTATATTGCTGGAGAGATACGCAGAAATCCGCTGGACGAAGCTGACCGCAACTATCTCTCTGAGCACAACATCAAGCTGTCGATTTCCGATCGTGATCAGGCAATCTCTCCACAGATACTTCTCGGATGTGGTGATCTGTTCGTTCTCTTGGATCAAGGATTTGGTCATGCCCACGACCTTCCATCAGGTCTCAAAGCCTTGCGTTCAAGAATCGGCTATCTTATCACTGGCTGCAACCGAAAAATGCAGGAAGATTCGATAGTCCAGCTACATGCTCTAAATACAGTAGAAGAAGACCCCGAGCAAGAGCAGATTCAATGGGACAGATTCTGGAGCCTCGACTCTGCCGGTATCAACGAGTACATGGGACCAAAATCCCAAGAAATCGAGGAAGAGAATCGAAAGATCTGGAGCCACTTCCGCAATACCGTGCAGTACGACGATGGTAAATACTATGTTAGACTACCGTGGAAAAGCTACGACAGACGATCTCCCCGACAATCGAACGATAGCTTTCAATAGATTGCGAAGTGTGCTCACAAGCCTCAAGAGCCAACCACATCTCTTGGCACAGTACCACAGTATATTCCAGGAGCAGCTGTCCAACGAGATCATAGAAGAAGTCGACGAGAACTCCGAACCTGATGGTCCAGTTGTGCATTATTTGGCACATCAGCCCGTCATAACACCGCAGAAGGATACCACAAAACTTCGTATAGTTTTCGATGGATCAGCACACCACAAGAATGCACCCTGTCTCAACGACAAGCTGCACCAAGGTCCAGTATTACTACCGTCACTTGTCGACATGCTCAATAGATTCCGTATTGGAAACATTGCAATTGTGAGCGATGTGGAAAAGGCATTCTTACAAGTTCGTCTTCAAACGGTCGATAGAGATGCCACTCGCTGCCTGTGGATAAGAGACACTGACAAGCCACTAAACAGGAGCAACATGGTCACTTATCGCTTCACACGTGTCACTTTTGGACTTAACTGCTCACCTTTCCTACTAGGAGCAACGATAAATGAGCACTTGAGTCGTACCTCAGATCGCGAAATAGCCAACTGCATCAAAGACAATATTTATGTGGACAACGTCATTCTGACGGCTGCTACCCCGGAAGAAGCTCTCGATCGATGTCTTCGCGCAAGACAACTCTTTGCAGAAATCAACATGAATCTCCGCGAGTTCTGCACTAATTCTAGCCACGTCAATCAGACGCTTCCCAAAGAATCTCGGGCATCGAATCAGAATCCCAAGGTTCTCGGGATCCAATGGCTTTCGGAAGACGATGAGATGAGGATCACATGTAAATTTTTGCAAAAAGCAATCATCTCGAAACGAACAGTCTCCGAACAAGTTGCAGCGGTATACGATCCACTTGGATGGCTCACTCCCTTGATGCTGAAGCCCAAGCTCTTTCTCCAAGGATTATGGAAACATAAGTACTCTTGGGATCAAGAGCTAGCGAAAGAGCACAAGGATCAGTGGATGAGGATTATCGAGGCGGCACAAAACTTCGAGAAACGTCTTCCAAGAAGAGTAAGCAATGGGTCGAAGTCCACGCCGGCAGAACTGGTTGCCTTCACGGACGCCAGCAAAAACGCCATGGCTGCATGCGTCTACCTCATCCACGAACATACAATCACGTTACTAATGGCGAAATCTAAGCTTTCTTCAATCAAGGACAGACCTACTATACCGAAGCTGGAAATGAATGCGCTCACTATGGGGATGCGCTTGGCAAACTCTATTTGTGACGCAATCAAAGACCGACTCAACATCACCGAAATCACGGTCTTCTCAGACTCAGAAATTGCTTTGAGTTGGCTTCAGAACCCCCAACTAGATCCAAGGACGGGGGTACTCGTTCGTAATCGATCGAAAGAGATCCGGAAAATCGCAGAATACCTCCACCAGAACCACGTCACAGTCAAATTTGGATACATTAACACAATTATCAATCCAGCTGACTGCGGCACCAGAGGATTAACGAAGGAAGAGTTCATCGACAAACAGCTTTGGTGGACTGGACCTCCCTTCCTCAAAGATCCAAAAGAATACTGGCCACAACTACGGTACCAGCTTCCCACTGTCGACTACGATGACACTGAGTGCATGATGAGTAAGATCGACGAATAACTCGTCCAGCACACACAACGCAGAAGTTATCGACCTGGCTCGACATTCTTCAATGAGAAAAGCTGTTTCCTCCCTTCGCGTATGCACTCAGATGGCTCGAGCGCCTTGCGAAACGTAGCAATCCGGATCTACAAACACGTCTTTTCCAACAAATACCAGAACTGCTTCCTCACTACACTGATGACCTTATCTCTGTACCAGAATACAACCGTGCTTTCACACTTCTCGTTCGCAGCCATCAAAGGATCCATGTAGAAGGGAAACTCGACATGAAGCGAGATCGGCTCATTCCAGTTAAAGATTCGAACGGAATTTTGAGATGCCGCGGAAGACTGAAGAATTCAGATCTTGCCGAAGAAACAAAGTTCCCCATTCTTGTCGCCGCGAAAACTCCACTCGCGTTACGACTCATTGAGGAAGCTCACGGTACTCTCCATCTCAGTATGGCGCACACAATGGCCAAGGTACGCGAGAAGTTTTGGATCCCACACTTGAGGAGACAAGTTCAAAAATTCCTTCGACGATGCGTACCGTGCCAGAAGATGAATAACTTGCCATTCCGGTATCCAGAAATGTCCGATCTTCCAAGTAGACGTGTGGTACGTAGCAGGCCGTTTCAGCATGTAGGAATCGACTACTTCGGCCCACTCACCATCAAACTGTCCACAGAAGAGCAGGGCAAGGCTTATGGAGTAATCTTGACATGCACGGTTACTCGCTTACTACACAGAGTGTGTACCGGACATGACAACGGACAATCTCCTCCATGCTTTACGGCGTTTCTTCGCCAGAAGGGGCGTCCCAGAGACAGTCACATCTGACAATGGTCCCTACTTCCTATTAGGGAGTCAAATTCTGAACGAGGCTGCTGACCAGACGATCAACGATGCAACTGTAGCACAATTTATGGCCACAAAAGGAATTGTATGGTCAACAAACACTCCGTACGCTCCATGGCAAGGTGCTTTTTATGAACGTCTCATCAAGTCAGTGAAACAGTCCTTGTATAAAGCGATTGGAAAGGCCACACTGACAATGGAAGCGTTGACCACATTACTAATTGAAATCGAAGGGACTCTCAACACCCGTCCACTCACATATCAAGAAGAGCACTGGGACGATCAACCTCTGATACGACCCATCGACTTCATTCAGCGTGACTTGATCATAACCTACCCGATGGAAGGAATCAAAGATGCAACAGATGACGCTGATTATCGTACGCCAACTCGTTCCTCTTGAGCTAATGGACACCCCAAGCCAGCCTTCAGAAGATACCATGACTGAACCTTCAGCACCAGCAGCAGAGGAACCCGAAATCCAAGAAGAAGAACAGAGGTACAACCTGCGAAAGCGACCTCGAGTTAATTACGAGCAGCTTCACCATGGTATGATATCGAAAACTCTTTTCCTCCTTGCTTTCGTCACCCTCCTAGCACCCGCTCTATCAAAGCCGCTCGGAACATCTACAAAGGCAGGAATCAACACCACGGCGGACAGTATCCGTTGTACAACGGAAGGTCTTTTTGTAACTAGTAATACACTATCACTGTATGAACTCTGCGTTGAAGGATACTGCATCACACGTGAAAATCCACCGCCAACAGAGACGATTCACTTGTCGCCAGAAATCACACTGCACCCATACGCTGTCAAATGGAAGATATCGAAAGGACAGCAACTCGACACGAGGGAAATTGAGTGCCCAGCAATACCCTTCTGCTCACAAGTGAATTGCTGGTTTTGTACAGCCAACATTCTCAATCCTGAGTGCCATCCTCAAACTGCGATCATAACCATTGCTGTTGTGTTGTATGGCATTGTGGCGCTGATATATACCATATGCTATGTGCCAGTAGTAGTGGGATTACCGATCAGGGTTCTGCTCGTAATAACACAACGAATCTTCAGCATGTGCTTCCTGGCAGCATACACCTGCTTTTCGAAACTGCGGGTCAAGCTAACTCGAAGGGCACAACCAACAAAATTCATTGCTCTTCTGTTCATTATCTGTATTGCACATCTTGCTCAATCATGTCAAGACGTTGACGTGTTCGAGCTACGCGCAACTACCTGCATACGATCAGGAGACGGCAACAGAACTTGTGCAGTGGATATTACTCAAATGCTCAAGATGAATACGTTTCATCGAGAAACATGCTTTCGACTTCTCACACGAGACACCCTTCTGAAAGAAATACGACTGGAATGGAAGCGTCTTCAGCTGATATGCGACAGACAAACAGTTATGTTCACGAGGCATGTTATCCAGCAAGTGATAGATTCGAAGCGGTGTCCACGAACAGGAAGTTGTAAAGGCCGAAAGTGTGCAAGTGTCAACACAACATCTCTGGTCCCGGAACTATCCCAAGGAAACAAGTTCCCTGGAATCACCCACTGTGTGGAGAGCTGCGGTGGCATAGGATGTGGATGTTTCTACCCTAGCAGTGGATGTCTGTTTTACCGAATATATGCTACTCCAGTAAACGACAACATCTACGAGATATTCCGCTGCTTACGTTGGAAGGAATAGGTAGTGTTGGGAATCTCGATAACCGAAGCTAAAGGAGAGACCACGGAAGAACACTATAATACTCCAACCAACTATTCCACAGAACGTAGGAACCATGAGAATCACCCTATCTTCGGTAACCGTCACTCCTACTCCGGCACTACAAACGTGGTTTATTACCGAAGGTAATAATACGGCACGATGGACAGGATCAAACATCCCAACTTTGGAATGCCCTTCCAAAAAAGCCGCGAAAGTGTTGGATTGTGAGATTCACACTAACTGTAGATGCCAGCCCGCAGAGGATAAAATGAACTGTATTTGCACTGATACCAACATCACCAAAGATTTCAATAGCGAACTTCGCAACCGACTGCCACTGCGATACCCGTGGATTGAGTTCGAGGAATTCCATCCCAAAGAGGAACTCAATACAGTAAAGGCGATACCTACTCGCTTGTCCACAGCTGAACTGCTTGTTACCATCAGAGAAGATTACGACTCCACAGTGAAAGAAGTGACAGATACGGTATGCTCAGTAGGCGACACTACCATAACAGGATGCTACCAGTGTCCACATGGAGCACTCAGCGAAATCGTGTGCTTCTCGCAAGGAGAGTCCACCATGGCCTCTGTACACTGTGGAGAAAACACCTTCACAGTGTCATGCAACAACACAGGAATAACGTCCCTGCTACGCTTCCAGCTTTACCAGGCTCAGATACACTTCCAGTGTGAAGTCTATTGTGGTTCAACAAAGACACAATTCGAAATCACAGGACTCCTTCACTGGACTAAAACAGCCTACGCGACAGGAGAAAAGTTGCTCGCAGGTGAGACGAGCCTTTACGAGGAATGGGCTCTTCCAGACGCTGAACACATATTCAGTGTTTTAATATCATGGTACAAGTCAATACTGATAGTCACTATCGTACTACTGCTCTGTATCGCAGTTGGATACCTCTTCGTTTGGAGCTGTGGAACGAAAACCCTCCAGTTTGCTGGCTACCTTGTCTGCATATCAATCCGAAATACAATTAGATTCGGAATAACGTTATTCATTAAGACCATATGTTGCTTCAATGCTGTCAAGGAAAGCAATCAACGCTCTCTTCGGAAAGAGCTGTAATACTGCCATAAATTGGACTAATGCATGTATATAAGTAAAAATAACTACTTCCAGCATGTTCATCTGAGCACAATAATCGCATGGCTACATATTTATCTGACATATAAACCCTATCAACTTCTTTCAGTAATCTACACTCCATACTGACGAACGATGCAGTCTTCTAAAGCCGAACGACCAGCCGTGAAAAAGCCGATCGAGAAGAAAAAGAAACCTTCTCCTCCTGCAATCCCGAAAGCAAAGCCCGTTAAGCAGTCAGATTCCCTTGGGGCAACTCCATCGGTGCCAACACCACAGCTTCCTAACCCAACACCATTTCCGATGCCACCTCCGGAACCACCTTCACATGCCTCACAGCTGCAAGACCTTGAAAAGGCGTACCATAACATCTACCAAACGGGCGCATCAATTATTGGCTTCATTTCCAAAGAAAATGAGGCTCTCCATAAGCAAATGGAAATTGCAAGGCATGATAAGGTCAAAGAGTTGATTGAGATAATCTCGGAGCTGAAGTATCTACAAGGTGCTGCGCTTCAACAAAGCAGTGATTCCTACTCGGTAGAAACAGCTCTCATGACACTACGGGAAGTCAACGAGTCCGGGCACGAGAAGATGCTTGAGCATTTCCACGACTGGAAAAAGGAGGTGACTGATAAGATCGAGAGACTTCTGAAGCTGAAAACGCCTTGCGCGTTAACAAAGGTCGATATGATTAACACGATCAGAAAGGAATATCAGGCCTTCCAGGATGCTCAAAAGCTTCTCGAGTCTCAACGACCAATTCCAGTTACGGCGACGGAACTCAAGG